GTCTTGAGACGCAGGGCCATGTCGTGCGGTGTCCCGCAGGGGTCTGTCCTAGGACCTCTCCTGTGGAACATCGAGTACGACTGGGCCCTACGAGGGCGTCTCCCCCCGGGCTGGGTGTAATCTGCTACGCGGATGACACCTTACTCACGGCCCGGGGGGCTAACTTCCAGGAGGCGGCGCGCCTGGCCGCCACGGGAGTTTCCCAGGTGGTCGGGCGCATTGAGGCGTTGGGATTACGGGTGGCCCTGGATAAGATGGAGGCCCTATTATTTCATGGGCCCCGTCGTGGTCCACCCGCCGGCGCCTCAATCGAGGTCGGCTCGGTCCTCGTACCGGTCCGGGCCCAGATGAGGTACCTGGGTCTGGTCCTAGACGGTAGGTGGCTCTTCGACGAGCACTTCCGACAGCTTGGTCCGAAGCTGGTGGACACTGCCTCCGCCCTAGGGCGACTTTTGCCCAATTTGGGCGGGGCCAGTGTTCCCACGAGGCGGCTGAACGCGGGGGTTGTCCGGTCCATGGCGCTTTATGGTGCACCGGTGTGGGTGGCGGCTCTGACCGCCCCGAATAGGGCGCGCCTCTGGCGCCCCCAGAGGATATTGACGGTCAGAGCCATACGCGGATACCGCACGGTGTCCACCGAGGCGGCTTGCGCCTTGGCCGGAACACCCCCGTGGGATTTGGAGGCGGAAGTGCTCGCCGAAGTTTATCGGCGAGTGGCTGACTTCCGGGCGGAGAGCGGATTTCGCCCTCCGCCCGAGGACGTGCGCGAGTGGCGCGAAGCCGCTCGCCGAGCCACCATGGTCAGATGGTCGTTCCGGCTGGAGACTCCACGCGCTGGCTTCGCCGCCGTGGAGGCTCTCCAGCCGGTCATAGCCGAGTGGGCAGGGCGGCAGCACGGGGCCCTTTCCTTCCGGCTGACGCAGGTGCTTTCCGGGCACGGTTGCTTCGGAAAGTACCTGCACTCGGTCGCTAGGAGGGAACTGAGTCCCGCCTGCCACCACTGCGACTGCAGTGAGGACTCGGCCCAGCACACGCTGGCGGTCTGCCCCGCATGGGCGACGCAGCGCCGGGCCCTCACTGCAGTCATCGGAGCAGATCTCTCGCTACCGGCCGTAATTCGCTCCATGGCCGGTAGCGACAGTTGTTTTACCGCGGTCGCAACCTTCTGCGAGGAGGTAATCTCGCAGAAGGAGAAGGCGGAGAAGGCCCGGGAGGACGACCTCCACTCGGACCTGATCCGCCGCCGGCGAACCGGGCGGCGGAGGCGCGCTTACCTGCGCCTCATGCCGCCCTGAGTGTGGCCGCGGGTGGACGGGGTGGGTTTCCCCTCCACCCGCATTAGTTGGCCAGCCGCGAGGGGGCGGCGTCCGCGTGTGCCGGACGTCGCCTAAAGAGAGGATAAGTGGAGACGGAGCACGCACCAGGAGCGGGCCGGCGCTGGGAGGGGTCCAGAAGGCGATAACTACCTGGACCCCTCCTAAACTGGAAGCGCAAAGAGGGCACACCGAGTGGTTTTAGTCGGTTCGAGTCCGACACACCACCCCGCCGCAAACCCCGGTGGGGTGACGGTCCGAGGGGATTTCCACACGTTAAAAAAAAAAAAGGATATAATCGGAATGTGAACACGACCATGTCGAATACCCGCATCGTGGCTACTGAAATGGTGTAGTAGACTAGTCTCATCTAGTAGACTAGTATTTTAATGCAGTACATAACTTTATTCGTCTTATGTTTTTCGCCGTTTAAACTTTGACTCGCCAACACCCTTAGGATAATAGATTAGTATTTCATATATCCTAAATTATAAATAAATTCTAAAATGAAACATACTTTAAAGTATATTGAGCGTAAAGTACTCGTATACAAAATTTTTACATATAAATTGGCCACATTGGAGACATTTCTTCACTCGCTAGTTCGATGTCCTGAAAATTGCATTGAAGATATCAACACTGCACAATGTGGAATGAGCCAGTTGAATAGTTATTTGTCTAATATGTCTGTCTTTGCTATATACTGTGACAGTTTCTTCTCTGTTTCTTAAGTGCATTATTCTACTTAGGATTAGGTAAGTCAGTTGTTGACTATATTAAGTGATATGTTTTTCTAAAGAACATAAGATTTTGTATAAAGTTGGTAAATAAATAAATAAATGTTTGATTGATACACGAACGTACGTCTTTGATTGTAGTAAATAAGTTAAAATTAAGGTTTAAAATATTGGTATAAAATGATTAATTAGTGTAAACTGGAACTGAATGTTTGACTTTTCTTTTTCAAATAGTCAAAAAGGCGTCAACAGGAATTTTTTTTTATGCCATTGAGGTTTTTAGGGTTTAAAAAGGGCCTATGAGGCGTAATGTGCTATAATTTCTAATAATGCAGATTCATAAAATCTTGTTGTTAGGTTGTTAGTTTCTAATTCTCGACTATTTAGGTAAACGTGCATGTTATAATAATAATCATAATAAAATATAAAAAACTTTTAAACAATTGGACTTGAAGAGGGTTGGAAATTAACCACTGGATTAATTATTAAGTGCGTATAATATTCCGTAACAATGCTTGATGTTTTTTTTGTAAATACTTATAAACTAGCAACAATTTAAACAGTCGGCATTTTTCTTACACATTTTCGAAATAAACAAATGTTCTCTACATTCACAACACCGCATTACCATTGAAATAAATTAAACAATAATAAAATGAATCTTTCTTATGAAAATAGAATAAAAACACGTTTAAAATAAATCAACCAAGAATATCTATAGTAAGGCATAACGTCATCTCAAGACACAAGATGTTTTTCATGTAAGAAATTCCATTGCAAGATGATAACAAGAGCTAGATCCAGAGCACTTTTAACATCCCCGGGCTCGTCACTTCGCTCCGTCTTGCCGTCCCCGGAAGCCACAACAAAAGTTCCGGCCGTGGCTGAGGCGTCGAGCTCGACTTCAAGCGACGAGTTTTTCTCTCCGCCGATGTCGCCAACACCTTTACCAGGAGAGAGGCCAGGATCCCGAGGACCCAAGGCAAGAAAACAGAGTGGACCGATATATTCAGAATCACACATTCCAAAGGCACGAGAGGTGGGTTTATAGAAGGTGGCAGCCTGATTTAGGAAGTGAGTGAGAAACTGCATGTTTTGTCTTTGCAATAACTGATCAAGTTGTTAGATGAATAATTATCTCTATATTATCGGAAGTATATCCTGAAGGACGGCACAATAGACATTTGTCGGGCATGTCATTGTCCCGGTGAAAGCCTGAGGCTTATAACACATAATTTCCGGTTGTTCTCGTCTTGCCAACGGCGAGTACTTGCATGGACTAGTATTCATGATGTTGGCAGATTATTCTGTGTGCAAAAGTGACAAAAGTACATGATTCTTGACTTCCGCAGATTCACCGATCTCTGAACGACCTCTCGACCATCTTTAATTTATAGCTGGCGCGTAATTTATTTTGTCGCGCCATCAAATTTTAATCTATAACTACATATTTACAACATTATTAATACTTCAAAGTCCTGTTGCGACTGGTCTCATTATCTTAAAGATTATTATTTTAAGACGATGTTGTCCGCGGTCAATTTTAACTCGTTATGATTTGAACATCAAAGGAATAAAAGAGAAATGTTTGAATACCTATTAGGATTGGGTGGTTACCTTATTCATTTAAGATCTTGCAAATTTCAATTATCATTTTATTTGTCTGAGAGTTTGCGAACACCTTAGTAAGTTTAAACTTTTGACTAATATATTTTATGCAGTTTGATCTTATGCAGAACTGAACAAAACTGGCTATCTGTCCCATTGAATGCTTTTAATAATTGCATTTGACCTTTAATAATTAATAATGCAAGAAATAGGTTTCTGTTTTAGGTGGAATGTTGTACACGTACTGCTATGTTAAAATTGTCTGTTTGGTAAACACGAAAGTACTAACATTGAGAATGTTTCAGAACGGAATTCAGAAATGTATAGTTAAACAAGATGTTAAAAGTTCCTTGTTTTGTTATTTAACCGTACAACGAGGTACAACTCGGAATTGAGTTTTAAATTATGCAAGTAACTTTAAATATCTTCTTCAACTTATGTAACCAGTACAAGTATCCTTTACATTATTTAAACATATTGTACTAGAATAGACTACTACAGGAAAGCCTCTTATTATTGCAAGCTTTATTTTGACTGTATTTTCAAATATTGGAACTGGCTGCTCTACGGCAAAGCTATAGTTATATTGTTTATATAAACTGGGACTCAGAACGGTAAACAACAGAAAATGATTTCGTATTTTGATGATACCATTAGATTGCAATACTTGATTTATCATTATATAACAAATGATGATATTTGAAATAGGTCAGCCCTTGATTATGTAGATAGGTTCCAGAAATGGAGAGAGCCATGTCAAATTATTTTCGCAATAATACAATAGATAAATACTCTAAAAACATGACAAGCCTGTTTCTACATTTCGTTTTTACTGAAACAAGAAACGTAAAAAGTGCAAAATAGTGTTTAGTTTTACCAATTCCTCTCAAACTTCTTTCTTTTGCACTGACTTTGTACTTTACCCTTTTTAACCCGTTCCTGAAATAAGCAACTTACTACTTGATGCATAACCGTGTGTCTCGTTATACGCGTTATAAACATTTGCCAACACTCTTCTCAATTATAATTAAATAGACAAAAAATAGAAATAGATTTAGTATTAACAAAATAGCGTCTAGCTCGTGTCTGAAATGGAATTCAATTTAATGAAAAATAACACCTAGAAAAAAATAATCTCTTTGTCTTCACACATACAACGTTAAAACAATGTTAACACTTTGAAGGTTTTTCATACTAGCCTCAATCTATTTCTGTACAAGCGCCAGTCTCGTAATACTTTCCGCATATTTCTGTACATTATTGCTATAATCACGAGCACAAAATGATCTTTAACTTGTTTCGTGGAAGTGTTTAATGAGGTAAACGTACCAATTGTCGACAGGAAGGCGACGCGGCAAGTGGTTGACGCGTGGTTGGTATCGCACGCGACGCCACCTAGCGCAGAGCTCGCGTCGCCGTCTCGCGCCGGCTCCGGTTCTGGGGCTACCACACCTGTCAGGTAAGATCTTATGATATACTTTAAATTTCTATAGACACAAAGGCAGTAAGCCTTACCGAACAAGCATAATACTGATACAAAGTAATCAAAATCGCTTTCAATAATTACTGGTATTTCAAAATTACAGTTTAAATCGTAGGAATGTTGAAAGAGGAGATACAACGTTTATGACATCTATCATAGTTTAAGTTCTTCCTAGATATCAAAATTCAACAAAGTGTTTTCGATACATATGTAACAACTTTCTTGTTTTTAGACAGCAGATTTATAAGTACGTGATAAGTAAAGCACCACCGGTTTTAGCATTCAAAAAAGTTTTAATAAATTAGAATTCTGTTAAATTTACAATTTACATTTTACATTTACATAATTGATATTTATAACAGGCCAGCATATGCGTTACTAGGCGCTTGGCCTGCCAGCCGGGCTTATTACACACATATAGTCGGATAGAATGAGCGCAAAATAGGTCTAAAAATCGTGAAATTGATAACCGTTCGTAAGAACATTGTTAAAAAAATGACAAAAATGGTTTATCACGTTTTACAAGAAAACTTCAAATGGTAGAAAGAAAGTACCACGTTTTTTACCATTTTCAAATTTGGAGACGATGTGGGTTTTGTAGTAATTTCAGCAAGATTAAGCTTTTTCGAAACTTAAAAAAAACTGATAAAAAGGCCTTGGGGAGAACTGCTCTAAAAAAATTAGGGACAATTTAGAATGAATTTTCAAAAACGCTTTTGTTCGTCAGTCTTCCTCTACAACGTCGAAAAATGCCCTTTTACTCAATTAAGTAGAAATCACTTTTGCGCATATTTCGAACTTTCAGAAAAATCTTATCATCAACAGCCCTTAATAGTCCACTGAGGACATAGGTCTCTCCTTAGAAAGGAGGTTTTGGCCTACTATACCACGCTGGCCAGACGGGTTGGCATAGGGTTTGTGTAAAGTTGTGGTCGGGCGCATTGAGGCGCTGGGCTTACGGGTGGCCCTGGATAAGACGGAGGCCCAATTATTCCATGGGCCCCGTCGTGGTCCATCCCCGGCGCCACAATCGTTGTCAACTCGGCACTTCCGACAGCTTGCTCCAAAGCTGATCGGCGCTGCGTCTGTCCTTTGGTCCTCGACTTTTACCAATTTGGGTGGACCTAGCGTCTCAACGAGACGGCTGTACACGGGGGTTGTCTGGTCAATGGCACTGTATGGTGCACCGATGTGGGCGGCGGCTCTGACCGCCCAGAATAGGGCACGCTTCTGGCGCCATCAGAGGATATTGGTGGTTAGAGCCATACGCGGTTACCGCACCGTTTCGACGGAGGCGGCGTGCGCATTGGCCGGTACTCCCCGTGGGATTTGGAGGCGGAAGTGCTTGTCGAAGTATATCGGCGGACGGCCGAGTACCGGGCGGATAGTGGCAGTCGGCCCCCGCCCGAAGATATACGTGAATGGCGTGAGGCCGCTCGTCGAGCCACGATGGCTCGTTGGTCGTCCCGGCTGGAGGCTCCACGTGCTGGCTTTGTGTTGTGCTGGCACTCGCCATAACGGCCAGCCGCGAGGAGGCGATGTCCGCGTGTGCCGGACTTCGCCTAAATAGAACATGTACCCGAAGGTGGTGCCCGCGCCGTTGCGGGCAGGCGCTAGGAGGGGTCCGGATGTCCTAATAACTGCAGTTCCCGGATCCCTCCTATTACAGGCACAGAGTGGCATACCGTGTGGTTTTAGTCCTCGCGTTGGTACGTTTTAGTACACCTCGCCGCAAACCCTGGTGGGGTGACGCCCGAGGGGGTTTACACACGTAAAAAAAAAAGGGTTTGTGTAAAGTTGTCCTTTTTTGCAGTGCTGTTGTCCTGCGTAGATGTCCCTTAGTCGGCTCTTACGACACCCACTAGATAAATAGGGATGGTGGCACTCTGTATTCTTAATCCGTCACCGTCTTATACTCGTAAATAACAGAAATTTAAACATCATAAAACCTAGTAATTAGTTCTATACTATATCAAAAAACCAGATCGAAAACAGGCTAAGACAGTGAATAACCCAACAGATGTTATAGAGACGATCACCAGCAACTAACGACGTTATCATTGAACTAAAAATAAAAAGATTTTGGGATTTAGGATTTTTCAAGATTTTAATGATACAGTGAAGCAATCTAGAAAGAATATTAAGGTTATAAAAGTTTAGAATAATTATGAATGGCCAAAGAAAAAGAGGGTAGCTCGTCAAAAAGCCCCCTGAGAGATTTTATTTTAAACAATGTGGTGAAAGTAAAATTTGTATTTAGTTCAATGAACCTACTTTACAAGACCTATATTCATTGCTAATACTATTAATGCAAATCTGGTTGGCTATCTGTCTGCATGTGATATTTTTACGTCTAACTGCTGAAAATTGAGCCTGAATGTTTTAAGCACACAAAGTTTACTTACGTGTAAATAATATTGGTACCATCAGATTGATTTGATTGATTACCAAATTTGAGGAAACCTTCATTGAGCTGGAACATTAATTAGAAAAAATCTGCTACCATCCTACCAAGTCCCTAGGAATAAACTCAAAGAAAAAGTAGAAACTATAGGTATAAACTCGTGCCCTTACGCATAAATCGCCTAAGGCATTCTTACCGCACAGAAAAAAAAGGATAATACCTACCTACTTATAAGCTGGATGGCTCATAGTGTATCTTCTGCGAGCCGAAAAGTAGTTTTCCTCCCATTTCTTTGATATGCATCAACATAAGCAGAACGAGGCTGTAGAATCTCAATACTTACAAATTAATAATTATTGATTAATAAAATAATATATAAAAAAAATACAAAAAAAAACTTAATTCCTTTTGGAGTTTTTGCGATTCCATTTAGTTAGCATATTTTAAACCTACGTAATGTGAAATAATCCTCCTTGGTTTCTCGAATGTTTTTTGCATTCTACTGAAGCACATTTGAAACCTATAAAATTTATAAGTAACCTATAAAATCTTTTTATTTCAGTAGTTAGCATATTTTAAATCTAAAAGTATAGAACAAAACCGATAGGATGAAATATATGAAAATAGGTTAACTTAAATTAATGAATGCGTGGGCTGCCGTTTAAGTAAACTAATCCTAAACAAATAGGCTATTAAGCCCAAAGCTGGGCAAAATCGACCCGTTAGTTTAGGCAGCGCAAACAAGCCTACAACGTCCGAGACAGCGTACACAACAAATGCAAATATATAAGTCACCTCTTTCAGTAAACTGGTAATAAAAACTATATAAAACTAAAAGTTCGGCAGTGTATCTTGTCATTTAGGTTCATGTATAGCAGCCTGCTAATGCGAATGCCATTCAATAAATGATATAATGCTGTAATCTTATTACAAGACAGACTAACTGAATGAGCTTCGATATGATGAATTTCGTTGCTGTTTTTAATCGTATAGAACTTTCCAAGAAAGAGTTTTCTTTTGACGTGACAACGTCTTATAAATTGGTTTGCCGGGTGACACTTCAAGAAACTGCGTTACGCTCCGCTCACGTTATGCGCTCACAATGAGAGCGAGTGAGAGGCACTCGTCCCTTCCACTCGGGCATGGTTAGCCCGCCTAAGAGCGAGAGAGACAGACATAAAAAGTGAAAGGCACGCGTCCCTTCCACTCGAGCACAGTTAGCCCGCCAAAATTATTTTACCACTCAAAGTCGTTGTCACGTAAAACTTTCGCCCGTATACCGACTTTACAGGCAACCAATTTTTTTTATGTTAGTTTATGTTAGATGTACGAGTACGTATATAAATATATTGATCGCAACGGTAAATGTCGCTTGTTCTTTGAGCATCTTCGTAACAACTTCTTGCCAGCTGCTTGCTAAAAATTAAGTAAAGGACCGAAATCAAAGTAAAAAATATAATTACAAATGTATAGTTTCAGAATTTTCCTTGCACTTTTTTTTATGTTAAAGGGAGCAGACGAGCAGACGGGTCACCTGATAGAAAATGATAATCGCCTCTCATGAACGAAGAAGTATAGGACGATGTTACTTGACAAATTTCATAGTTCATGAGAGGCCTTGAGAGTGTCGAAATATGCATTTTTATCTTTTTAACGTTAAATTAAAAGTTTCAATCATCATAGTTTTTCACATATTCAAGGGACTGTAGACCTTAAGTATATGGCTTTAATTTCAACTCGATACCTCCACGTGTTCCTGAGATGAACGGTCTTGACAGACAGATGAACAACAAAGTGATCCAAACATTTTATTTGGATTTACGGAACCCTAAAAATGGCAAATTACAGAGAACTACACAACAAAAAACACAAAACTTTAAAAATATGTGCCAAAAGTTTCGTAACAATATTATAAGTATGTTAACATGACCTAGGTCTTTCCAGCTAAGCTTTGAAATATACCAATATAAAATTGACAAAGTTTGAGCTTCCCTTCCTAACTTTAAAACTTGGTCGTCAATTCGCGAAAGTTGGTTGGTCTCCCACGTCCACGTCATATCGGGTGGCAACATTTAAATATCTTTCTTGAGCTTTTATGTAAACTTTATAATACTGCGGCCGGGCAAATCTACTTTTTTATTAAATAATTCTTGAGTCGGAAATTTCAATATTTTCTGGATTTTTAATAATACTTTTTATCTTCCACCTAATAGGACAGACGCAACCTGAAGCCCAATTTTCGTAATAAGATTTCGGTCACAACTCAGTTCCGTTGAACTCTCCATCTCGTAACTGACATAATAGGTATTTTCAGCGTAAAATAGTAAAGTACCAGCAGATTACAGGCGATTTAGCGGCTAGATTATTGGAACTTTAATCTGTTGCGCTAGTAGAACTGACACTGGTTGGAACACGAACGAGGTGCATATTAACATTGACATTAATTATTCAATTACAAATAAACATAATTGATATGCTTGACGTGTGAAATTGTGAATTTAACTTTGCTAAAAATACGTTTTACGTGAGACCCTTATTATATAATTAAATGATAACATGCTATGGAATTGCCATTAAATAATTGCGTTGTGTCTCATCTGCCAGACGTCCGGTAATAGGATGGTTGTATATCTAAAATTAACTAAAATAATAGGGGTTAAAGTATTACATTGGCGTGGTATGTATATTAATAATAGGTCTTTACCTATGAAATTGCCGTTTGTATGCAATAAGTGAAAGTACTTATTTTATGGTGGTTACATCTGCAACCAGCTTTGGTCAATCGGTCGTCCCCACTGCTCCTTTACGACAATGCGCGACCCCATACTGCGCAACAGACAGTCTCCAAGCTGCAAGAGCTGGGGTTGGAAGCTCTCCCTCATCCGCCATACTCACCAGACCTTGCACCTACCGACTATTACTTTTTCCAAAATTTAGACAACTTTTTAGTAGGTAAAAAATTCAATTCCCGAGAGGCAGTACAAAATGCCTTTGAAGAGTTTGTTGCCTCCCGTCCAGCTGATTTTTACAAGAAGGGCATCACTAAACTGCCAATGCGTTGGCAAAGATGCGTCGATTGCATGGGTGATTACTTCGAATAACAGAAATAAAAAAGTTTGAAAATATAAGTACTTTCACTTATTAAAGACCTATTAGATACTTTGAATTGACTTAAAATGTTAATTCATGGTGTGTCATGTCATGTCATAATTCATGTTAATTCATGGTGTGAAACTTTTTTCACATGATACCTATGAGGTTATTCTTTAAAAAAATGTACAATAACGCTGATTGAAGGAGATGGTGGGAGCCGACTCAAGTCAAACTACCCAGGAATTAGCGGCATGATTTAACTTTACCCTACCTACAATATTGACTCACATCACATCATCACACATCAACAGCCTTTAATAGTCCACTGCTGGACATAGGCCTCTCCTTAAAAAGAAGGTTTTGGCCTACTATACCACGCTGGCCAGGCGGGTTGGTATAGGGTTTGTGTCAAGTTTTCCGTCTTTTTGCAGTGCTGGTGTCCTGCGTTGTTTTGCGCCCTTAGTCGGCTCTTACGACACCCACGGGATGAATTGGGGTAGTGACATTCCGTATTCTTAATCCGTCACTACACGGACAATATTGACTCATTTGAATCAAATCTCATCATCATCAACAGCCTGTAGTAGTCCATTGCTCGACATAGGCCTCTCCTTAGAAAGGAGGTTTTGGCCTACTATATTGCATCAAATCTATAAGATAATAAAAAAAAATGAAAAATGATTTGACTGATCTCCAGAAAGAAATGCGTGTTGAAACTTGTGTTGCCTTGTCGAATCGGTACAGAAATGATGGAATATTGGATCGAATTGTGACATGTGACGAAAAGCAGATTGTTTACGATAACCGTAAGCGAAAAATACAATGGCTGACCCCAGGTTAAACGCCGCAACAGTGCCCTAAAGTAAATCTTACCAATAAAAAGGTAGTAGTAACTGTTTGGTGGTCTCTTCATCGTGTTAATCACTATAGTTTCCTCGGGTCTGGTCAGGCAATAACAGCAGATGTTTACTTTGCCGAACTTTGAACAATGAAGGCGAAACTGGCAGTGAAACAGTCCCTCCCAGTCCAGATCTTCATCATTATTGCTTCATGATAACGCAAGACCTCACACTGCACGAGAAACCGTTCTAACTCTATAGAAGCTGCAGTTAGATCCAATCGTTATTCTCCGTACTCGCCAGACCTTGCTTCCATGGACTACATTTTTTTTTGTGATATGGAAAATTTTCTACGTGATAAAAAGTTTCTTCCCAGGACGCGGTACAAAATGCTTTCACACAGTTTGTCGAAGCTAGATCCCCCAGAGTTCTACCGTATAGGCATAAAATTGAAATTTTGATTAAATAAATATATTACATCTTAGAAAAAAAAGTTTCAGTTTTTCAGTGATTGCAAATAGTATTATATTTGATAATTAATGTATTCATGTTCACACATATTTGATCGAGTACCACTTTACAAATGAATTCTATAAAGAAACGTATAAAGACTAGTTTCCTGTAATAATTCAATCTAAATAATAATTCTATACAGAAACGAATGATTAACTTGCCCTTGTCAAATATTCAACAAACAATAATTCATATAATCTGTATTTTATCATTAAAAAGGCATATACACATCAACCGTCGCCATATGTTTTAAATTGAAATTTCACGCTGACTAACCCTTATTTTTAATTTGACAGGAAGATCTCAGCTCACGAATTCGAGCGTGGCGGTCTTTTAAAACCGTTGGTAACGACGGTGGACGGCACACCTACATTTCTTGGAGACCAGCCTCCTCATGCAACTCCTTCACGACCACAAAGACGGTCACGGCATGAGCTGAGACAACTGGACGAAAAGGAACTTATATTCGAACTAGTAAGTATGATCGGTAACTTAATGGAAATATTTTTTTAATGACTCGGGATTTTGATATAAAAGTGTTTATAATAATTTATTTTTTCTAATATATTTTCAATAATTTCTAAGCTATCATTTCTAGACAGACAGTAAATGGATATTAATTTTCTTAATAAAAATATCTAATAATGCTGGTATTCACATAGCTTGCGTAAATCCTTATTATCTGGTATTTATTCTTCGATCTAAATGTTAATGACCAGTTAATGTTAATCATTTGCGCATATTATAAATAGGTACAATTTGAATTTAGGTAGTCACTACTTAAAAATATTACAGTACGTATTAAACGAAAACGAAATTATATGCGGTAAGGCCTGTAAGGTTCAAATAGAGTAGGTTCTAGACTTCAAATTCTTGTAACTATTATATATTATTACTAGGCAGTCGTGTTTTAGGAACCCCCTTAATCACGACTACCTAGTAGTAGTCTACTAGTACTATTTATTATTCTATAGTTTTAAAATAAACAGGAAAGGATTGAGACATCTTTATAGATAATTATATGATCTTCAATTTTTTCTGACCAAATTTTATGAGAAACTCCATTTTTGAGACGTTTGACCTTAAATAAAAAAAATCTATTACGGTATCGATGGGGACTTTTCAGCATTCATTTATAATGGTGTTTTTAACATTCATACAATACATAGCTCTATGGGCATTATTGTAGCGTCACTACTATTTTTAGGGCTAATTTGTTCGGACTAATTGCCATGTCTTAAGCAAAATTCGAATGTTGAACTTAATTATTTTCATATCACGAGATGTGGTAAAAATCATTTAATTTAAATCATTACAAAATCATTAATATAATATGATATTCTGAGTCTGCCTCATTTAAATGGTTTAAAATGCAGAGAACCAGATATTGTTTATAGTTCGTTTAATTTGTAAACACAGAACTCTAAAGAAATAATGCAATAGTCCAACTTTTGCCAAATATAATAATTTACATTTAAATCAAACACCGAATGAGTGTGACTGAAGCAGGAAAAATTACAGAATATTTTATTACTCAAAGCAAAGTTTATTGTTCTAATTTTGATAGACCAGCAGGATTCATGTAAGCACTTTTTAAGGAACTTGAAGTTATGGTATTGCTCACTTTTTTTCGAAAAAATATCTATATTTATGAAAATGAAGAGGAAAGAGTGCTACGGGAAAGCACTAGAAGAAAAGATATGCCATCCATGATAGCACCGACTCTTAACATTGTTAAACATAGCTCATGTTATAAGTCAGTCAGGCTATTCAATAGACTTCCTCCGGAAATAAAATGCACAATTTATGCAAATAATTTGAGTCCAATCTTTGAGTAATCTTAAGGCATTTTTTGACACGATAAAATAATTTGCATTGACATTTGCAATAATTTATTCTACTTAATATATTACCTTTTCACATTAAACCATAATTAATTTGTACTTGTGACATTCTAATAAGTGAATATTTTTGCCTGTCTAAAATCTAATTATTTCATCATTTGTATTGTTATTTTTTTGTTATTATAATTTATTATTTCATTAATGTTCTTTTGGTTGTTACTATTAAATTAAGACTAAGAAAATTGTATTTCAACACAATGTCATATTTACGAAATAAATAAATAAATAGATTTGATTTCCGTTACGTAAAAACATCAGGAAGTTGTTACTGTAAAAACATATTGTATTTTATATATTCTAACACTGCTATAGACATGTTAATTTCACCGTACATACAGTATTGTTAAGAATTTATAACCGACTTTCTCAATTCTTCGGAGTCTTTTTTGAAATGTGGCTTTTCTATATGCCGCATATGGCTATTCCATATGCGGCATATAGAACAGCCACATTCCTAGGTTAGGTTGTGATCCTACCTCTTAGGGATCAACCATTAGTACTATCTACTCATATCGGTTATCTTTATTTTAATAATTTTAGTTTTAACAAAGCTATCTATTGTTGTGGTGACATTGTTAAGACATTTTATTAAAAAATATGCATCGTATTTGAATTTGAATACCCATTGAGACCAGTCTTCAAAAATATATATTGACTAAATCCTACTTTACACTTTACAATATTGAAATGTAAAGGTTATTACTCAATCACGCACAGCGGAGATTGTGTAATATTTAGGATTATGAGGACTGAAACATGACCGTAGCTTCAAGCTAAAGTTATTGGCATTTCAACTTAATTCAATCTAAACATACCATGTAAATATGCAAGTCTTCAAGATTCAATTTGTTATCTAATTAGTTTACTTACTATATTTTATAGTTATATTAGACATCTTTATTTTTTAACAAAATAATATAATAATAAATAATTTGGCCATTGCATGAAAACACATTTCAAAAATAAGTATCGCGCCGCGTGTGTCTGTCTCTCAGTCTGATTGTCTGAACGCGATGACTCAATGTTATCTAACGGATTTTCATACGGTACTCTTTAGACTGATGTAAAGAGTGAATCATTATACAACCGAACTTTCCTGGTTTTCGGTATCGGTTGTAAAAATTGGGGGCTGTTACTCGTCTAACTATGACAAAAAAGGTGAAAAACTTTGCTCACCGTTCTAAATCATTGAAAATTGGCATGTTATAAGAGAGAGGCATGTTATGTACAGGTATGTTATATCTTATTGGTTACTGAATACAACGAAGTAAAAAAGGATCGAAAGCATTTTAAATGACTTCAAGTAAAGGATGACTGTCTTTTTTTTTCTTAGTCTGATTTGACGGGGCACTGCTGTTCCCACATATTTGAGATATTTCTCTAAAACTCTTTATCAAAAATGCGTGGTCTTCATGTCCTATTAAAATAAAATTCTATCGTGCATGCGTATCATTCGATTCTAGACTGCTCAATATTTCACCGTATCATACCTACTTCTTTAGAAGGAATAAGCTTATAGATCGAATTCTTTAACTTTATTGTCGTAATTATTTATCAATTCAAATGTTTTCTACCCTGCCAACCCGTGTTTACCGCGAAATCCTCTTAAACAAATTAGAAAATATTACTTAATCAGCTACCTAGCTAGATTCCATTTAAACTTATAAATGTTTTATGTACGTAAGTAATCTGAACAGAAAGTTAATAGCAATTCAAATTAAGGCTTTACAAATTGATTTACGTCGGTGTCGTTTTGGAATGAAAACAAAAGTATTTTTTTGTTCTTTCTCGGCTTTTAGGTTTTCAGAGTGAAGATAGATTTATAATAACAAGTTGATTAATTACAGAGTCTCATGTTTTATCTCTTAAAAAATTGTTGTTTCTCGTGCCTCGAGCAAAGGAGGCTGACAGAAATGTGCGAAGGTGCGGGCATTTTAATAAACAAATGAAAATGGTCATAATTTTCTTTTATTATGAAATAATTTTGGGTACAATTTGTTTGTATCAAACGAACACATATAAAAAAGTATTTCCAAATGTTTATAATTATTTATAACGTACAATCCGTTAATTTTTAGCAAAACGGCTCGAAAGTGTTGCATACTAAAAAAACTAGTGGAAAAAGTGATCCAAAAAAATATACTAATAAATAATAGTCTCACTTACAAAGTAAGACTATTATTTATTAGTATATTTATGAAGTCTGTAATACCGACGAATTATTTTTTATTATCCATATAGTTATCTTGTTTTAAGACAAAATATATGTCTAAAAATAAATTGTGATCTCGTAATACTAAACAGCACATGGGTATTTTTTTCTTACTCTACACACGTGATCTTAAAAGTTGCCGACCTTAACACGAAGATGGCAACACTCGTGAATAAAAGCTAGTGAATTTCGTTGTTCATCTGTTGACAGTTACTCGAGAAAGTTTCAGCCATTTTGGACGCGCAGTTATGTAACAGTCAATTGAGTGAATTTATGCGAGTGTTTTATGAAAATGGACATAAAATCGAGTATCGAGCTGTCATTAAATATTTGTTTTTGAAAGGCAATAACGCCTACGCAAATCAAAGATGAGTTGGATTCTGTGTATGAGGACTCTGTCCCATCATTTACCAAAAGCGTCCAAAAACTGCAACTACCGACGAAAACATCGCCAAAGTTCACCAAATGGTGCTAGACGACCGCCGAATTAAAGTGAGAAAGATAGAAGAGGTTATAAACATGTCAAAAGAACGTGTTTGTCACATATTAAATCAACATTTAGACATGAGAAAGCTGTCCGCGCGTTGGGTGCCGCGTTTGTTCACGTTAGACCAAAAACGTGTTCGAATTAATATTTCCAAAGCTCTGTGGGCGCAGTTGCCATGGCGAAAATCCACGAATTACGGTTTGAACTGCTTGACCATCCGCCTTACTCACTAGATCTAGCCCAAAGCGAAAATTGCGCTCGGAGGACAGATATTTTGTCAAATGAAGAGGCGATCACCTTCATCACATCATCACACATCAACATCCTTTAATAGTCCACTGCTGGACATAGGCCTCTCCTTGGAAAGGAGGTTTCAATCACCTTCGTGAACAATTATTTTGCAGAGAACAACGCCGAGTACTATTTGGACGGGTTACAGAGATGGAAGCATCGCTGGGAGAAGTGTGTAGAGTTACAAGCAAACTATGTTAAAAAATAAAATAAAAAACTAAAAAAAGGTCTTGTATCTTTGTTAGGTCGGAAACTTTTCAAACCACCCCGGTAATAACTTGACTAATGTCAAATCTGGCGCGCACGGCGTGAGTTTTTGTTTATTTTTGGAAATTCTATTTTAAATGGATTTAAATATTTTTTCTCACGACGGCCCCGGCTTGGTTTTGGACCTTGTACTCTTTGGATTGTTTAAATTGTTGTTTGACAATTCTTTAGATGTTGAACCCGATTTGCATAGCGACTTACGCCTGAACATGGATTTTCTGATTATGCCACATAAGAATCTATACGTTGCATCAATTGTGGTATTAACGCGACTCACAGAAGGAGACATGATCTTAACCTAGTTGAAGTGCGA